TATAAACTTCATCTCCACTATAAAAAGCATCTAGACATTATCTCACATTTCTCTTGGACTAACATTTAGTTTTCAACAGCTGAAATTTGTAAACCTTGCTGTCTTTCTCCGACATTTGCAACATTGTTTCAATATTCATATTCAATCTCCAGGTGTCCCATAGTAATGAACTTGTCTGGACAAGACACAGGCAGCGTTTCCCAGCCAGTCAAAATCATGAATCAGCTGGCATCATTTTTATGGATAAATACAAAGAAATGTCAATTGAAAAAAGGTAAAGTGAAACGAAGTGCAGCTAGTTTGCAGTCTTGAGTAACTCCTCTGAACAATAGTGTCCTGACAAGAGAGCACATTTTCTATGCCGGGCGAAATCGCGCCGCATTTGCTCATTGTTATAGATATATCCAAATAAATGTCACTGCACTGTTTGACGTGACTGTAAGTTAGTCATAGTTGGCTAGCAAGCAAGGGATAAGAACGTTGCCAGCCAGTATGGCAATGGCGCATTTAGAACTAACGATTGGGTCACGTCCATAGATGCAGAGCAGAAAGACTGAACGACTGAGTCGCGTCTCTGAAAACCGAACCAATAGAACGAACGACCAGCCGGTTTGGGTAGCAACCCTAGATTTGTGTCAGGACCATATCTTGCGGAAGGATTAAATAGTATAAATAAATTCATCAAAATAACAGTTATGAAAATGTCAATCTTTATTTAAATAGGTTGGTAACAATATAATAATAATATGCCATTTAGCAGACGCTTTTATCCAAAGCGACATACAGTCATGTGTGCATACATTTTTACGTATGGGTGGTCCCGGGGATCGAACCCACCACCCTGGCGTTACAAGCGCCATGCTCTACCAATTGAGCTACAGAGGTAACCCATTGTATAATAGTGATAATGCCCTCGGCGCCAGTGTTTGGAGGATATATTGGCACGGTTTGCCGGCCCTCGACTCTCAGGCCTAACAACACCTGTGCCAAAATATCCTCCAAACACCGGCTTCTCGGGCATTGTCACTTAAATACTACAGTGAATTCCCAAAGCTAGGAGAGCTGGACGATGTCAGTGTGGCCATGTAAATAAGTAATAAGGCTGAGACTGCCAAAGCTGGTTATACTACTCAATATTTGAGACAACTTTATTAAGGTGGGAGGACAAGGGATACTGCCTCTATACTAGTGGGTGATATGGACAAAAATCCATATTGCAATAAACTGCCTCAATTCTGTCTAATGATACGTTTCTAACATGTGCACCAGTTTTTATTTATTGTCCCTTAAACTACTACTTTGGTGGTTGTAGTAGGGCTGATTTATGGATATTGATATTTTATAAACTTACAATGCATTCGGAAAGTATTCAGACCCCTTCACTTTTCCCACATTTTGTTACATTACAGCCTTATTCTAAAATTGATTAAAAAGTTTTTTTCGCCCTCATCAATCAACACACGCTACCCCCATAATGACAAAGCAAAAACAGGGCTGACATTTTTTTGGGTCTCATGGTCTGAGAGTCCTTTAGGTGCCTTTTGGCAAACTCCAAGCGGGCTGTCATGTGCCTTTTACTGAGGAGTGGCTTCCGTCTGGCCACTCTACCATAAAGGCCTGATTGGTGTAGAGATGGTTGGCCTTCTGGAAGGTTTTACGATCTCCACAGAGGAACTCTGGAGCTCAGTCAGTGACCATCAGGTTCTTGTTCACCTCCCTGACTAAGGCCCTTCTCCCACGATTGCTCAGTTTGGCCAGCTCTAGGAGTCTTTGTGGTTCCAAACTTCTTCCAATTAAGAATGATGGAGGCCACTGTTCTTGGGGACCTTCAATAATGCAGAATTTGTTTGGTACCGTTCCTCAGATCTGTGCCTGGACACAATCCTGTCTCGGAGCTCTACGGGCAAATTATGTCCAACCAATTGAATTTACCCAAGGTGGACTCCAATCAAGTTGTAGAAACATCTCAATGATGATCAATGGAAACAGGATGCATGCACATCCACTAATAATGATCAACTTCTGGTAGCAGGCAATATAGAAAATTAACACTGGTCTCATAAACACTCTCAAGCACAAGCCCACCTGCTAGTGAGTAACGCCTATTCTTCATATTTAATCTAGCCAGCTTGGATCTATTTGCTTGCTAACAAAGTATAACAGTTGAACTGTTATGAATACACCCACCTGTCCTTCTCCTAAGCTATATGGAATTGTTTTGATTGAATTATCAAATGTAAAGAAATATTTTTGGCCTCATTGCTATTAGCCTATATAAATGAATAACATATTAACTACATAAAAGAACACCTCAGAACAAACCTCTGGTTCTACATAAAAGAACCAGAGGTTTGTTCTGAGGTGTCTATCCTATATATGAGAGAGATATTTAACCCCTTTTTGTCACTAAACACACTCCATATATACAGTACCAGTCAAAAGTTGACACACCTACTCATTCAAGGGTTTTTCTTAATTTTTTACTATTTTCTACATTGTAGAATACTAGTGAAGACATCAAAACTATGAAATAACACATGGAATAATGTAGTAACCAACAAAGTGTTAAACAAATCAAAATATATTTGAGCTTCTTCAAATAGCCACCCTTTGCCTTGATGACAGCTTTGCACACTCTTGGCATTCTCTCAACCAGCTTCACCTGTAATGCTTTTCCAACAGTCTTGAAGGAGTTCCCACATATGCTGAGCACTTGTTGCCTGCGTTTCCTTCACTCTGCCGTCTGACTCATCCCAAACCACCTGAATTGGGTTGAGGTCGGGGGATTATGGAGGCCATGTCATCTGATGCAGCACTCCATCACTCTCCTTCTTGGTAAAATAGCCCTTACACAACCTGGAGGTGTGTTGGGTCATTGTCCTGTTGAAAAACAAATGCTAGTCCCACTAAGCCCAAATCAGATGGGATGGCATATCGCTGCAGAATGCTGTAGTAGCCATGCTGGTTACGTGTGCCTTGAATTATAAATAAATCACAGACAATGTTACCAGCAAAGCACCCCCACACCATAACACCACCTCCTCCGTGCTTTATGGTGGGAACTACACATGCAGAGATAATCCGTTCACCCACACCGCGTCTCACAAAGACACGGCGGTTGGAACCAAAAATCTCCAATTTGGACTCCAGACCAAAGGACACATTTCCACCGGTCTAATGTCCATTGCTCGTGTTTCTTGGCCCAAGCAGGTCTCTTATTATTATTGGTGTCCTTTAGTAGCGGTTTCTTTGCAGCAATTCGACTATGAAAGCCTGATTTCACAAAGTCCCCTCTGAACAGTTGATGTTGGGCTGCAATTTCTGAGGCTGGTAACTCTAATGAACTTATCCTCTGCAGCAGTGGTAACTCTGGGTCTTCCATTCCTGTGGCGGTCCTCATGAGAGCCAGTTTCATCATAGCGCTTGATAGTTTTTGCGACTAATGATGGACTGTCGTTTCTCTCTGCTTATTTGAGCTGTTCTTGCCATTTACCAAATAGGGCTATCTTCTGTATACCCCCCCCCCCTACATTGTCACAACACAACTGATTGGCTCAAACGCATTAAGAGGAAATACATTCCACAAATTAACTTTTAAGAAGGCATACCTGTTAATTGAAATGCATTCCAGGTGACTACCTCATGAAGCTGGTTGAGAGAATGCCAAGAGTGTACAAAACTGTCATCAAGGCTAAGGGTGGCTATTTGAAGAATATATTTTTTGGTTACTGCATGATTCCATATGTGTTATTTCATAGTTTTGATGTCTTCATTATTATTCTACAATGTAAAAAAAATAAACACCCTTGAATGTGTGTCCAAACTTTTGACTGGTAGTGTACTTCCTTCAATTATTTTCAACTGGTACCGGCGAACCTTCAGACTAGTCTTGCGAGGCCTGTGGGCGCCCTAGAGCAAAACAACCGACGTGTTCGTGAGCTTCTCACCTTTACACAGAGGGGTCATGTTAGTGTGTAGCCCAAACGGTTTGGACGCTACAGACATAAGTTGACAGATCGGCTGTACCGACTTCATATGTGTCCCAAGATGCTTGTGGGGGTCGTAGAGCAAAACGGAGAACACCATCGTATTCGAGAGTCATATTTACATAGAGGGGTCATAATAGATTTCTAGGCCAAACCGTTCGGACGCTAGTCGATTTTATTTGAAGACCGATTTTGGGGATAGCTCATGGTCTGACAAACACTGCTCTAGCTCCGTCACCTTTCACGGCATATGCGGAAGTGTTACGTAGGTGGATGCGGTTGGTTGAGACACATCCAATGGAGAAAAAATCTATCTGTAGCTTAAACTGACATTTTTATGGGGATTCTTCATTATGCTAATTACATTCCGCGGGGGCGTGGACATCGACCTTAGTGGGTTAAGGCAGTTATATAGAATTTAAATATTACGTGACATTGCATTTCATAAGACTTTTCACAACACAGTGCCCACTACTCTACTGTAATGCCGCGCGCAGAAGAAACTGAGCATAAATATTCCACAAACATGTCCATTGATACTCCTGTTTTAGTAGGGTCTGCTCTGTTCTACATTTTTCTGGAGTTGATACATAAAAAGGGTATTGTTACAAAGGCTATTACAGTAAAATAATGTTTCGGTGTCCATGTGACCGATTTTATGTTGGACCAAACCTCAAATGCAAATAGCGAGTTGAAACTGCTTGTTGTTAAAGGAAAAATATGCTCTTTCGTCATTGTTGCTGTTAGGGGAAGGAGCAAAAGGGACGAGACAAAAAAAATAAATATATATATATATATATATATATATACTTGACTCTTGCGATACAGGCATTTGGAGCATCGTACATTTGAATAGATTCTATATTTCGCCCAACCCTAGGTTGTAGCCATCAATTGTCCCATTAACAATCACCCATATTAGCAAACTTATTTCATTTCAATCTTCACATTTCCCTAGTGTAGGCTACTTATCGTAATGAACGATGTTAGCAAAATTCCTGCAGTAAGTGATCGGTATGGTCGGCGTCTAATTTTCAGTTTGTCATCCCAGCTCTACTCTATACTAATAATTCACCCTCCTCCGCAGGTGAACTTTACCGTAGACCAAATCCGTGCCATCATGGACAAGAAGTCCAACATCCGTAACATGTCTGTGATTGCGCATGTCGACCATGGTAAGTCCACCCTGACAGACTCACTGGTGTCGAAGGCTGGTATCATCGCAGGATCCCGCGCCGGAGAGACCCGCTTTACCGACACACGAAAGGACGAGCAGGAGCGCTGCATTACCATCAAGTCAACGTGAGTGTCCCCTGGCCATTGTCGCATTAACATTTCTGACTGGGCAGAAGTAGGAGAGGTTTCGGGTGGCCTCTGAGTGGACTAACACAATTTCTTTCCCTGCAGCGCCATCTCCATGTACTACGAGCTCTCGGAGAACGACATGGCATTCATCAAGCAGTGCAAAGATGGCGTTGGGTTTCTCATCAACCTGATTGACTCTCCAGGCCACGTTGACTTCTCCTCTGAGGTCACAGCCGCTCTCCGTGTCACTGACGGAGCCTTGGTTGTTGTGGACTGTGTGTCAGGTAAGGACGACTTGCACCCTAGTTATGTCTGACACGATCATGCTTTCATTACTGTAAAAAATGATGGCATGTTCTATACTTTTTGTGAACAAGTATTTCTTTATTTTCAGCATCTGTCATACAGGATGTCATATTGATGCTAGGTTCCATGATTACGAGGTATATTATAAAAGGAGTAGGAGTCAGTCAACAAACCAATCCATTTCTTCTCAACATTTTCCTAGCTCACGATCTGCTCCTGTCCCTCCCTGCCCAGGTGTGTGTGTGCAGACAGAGACCGTGCTCAGGCAGGCCATTGCTGAGCGTATCAAGCCCGTACTGATGATGAACAAGATGGACCGTGCCCTGCTGGAGCTGCAGCTGGAACCAGAGGATCTGTTCCAGACCTTCCAGCGCATCGTGGAGAACGTCAACGTCATCATTGCCACTTACGGAGAGGATGAGGGCAGGTCCCATGGGCGCCATCATGGTAAGCAACTTCTGTTGGCTGTACAATGCATTGTCAGAAATTGTTGACACCTGTGAAATTGTGGCATTGTTCCAGATCTGTTTTGCGCCTAATGGCAAAACTGCTGTTTACATTAATATTGAAAGCGTTTCTCTGGAAATATTATACTAGTTGCTTGGTATCAACCCTGCCCTAGTAGTCACCACAAGTGCTGTAAGACTATTGTCTCTTACAGATTGACCCAGTCATTGGAACTGTTGGCTTTGGGTCGGGACTCCACGGATGGGCCTTCACCCTGAAGCAGTTTGCTGAGATGTACGTGATGAAGTTTGCTGCCAAGGGTGATGCACAACTAGGACCAGCAGAGCGCTGCAAGAAGGTGGAGGACATGATGAAGAAGCTGTGGGGTGAAAGGTGAGGGACCAGTTACTGTCAACCTTGTAATCGTCTGCCACATTTTCCAGAACTAGCTACTGACAGATTGCCTGGTACATGTCAAGCCTTGTCAGTTTGCAATGTAGTTACATTGTGATATTTTATCCCCATCAGATTTTTCGACCCAGCCACTGGCAAGTTCAGCAAGTCTGCAACCGGACCTGATGGAAAGAAGCTCCCCCGTACCTTCTCTCAGCTCGTCCTGGACCCCATCTTCAAGGTGAGTGGGGACATGACTTTTACAATGTTTTGAGTTTGGTCAGGTGAAAGGGATGCCATCCATGTACCCATAAGGTCTGACCAGGAAAGGGCATTTGTTATTGTGCCTTTTAGTGCTTTATGCCTATGAGTGATGACTTAAACATTCTTCACTTTGACCTGATTGTCCAGTGATGATAAACTTCAGTCTGACGCATGGCAAAGGCAATTCTATAGTTACCTCTCCCCATATGATCATCTGTATTTTATTGTATGGTCCACCCGTTTTTAAGTTGAACTGCTGTTTCTGCGATAGGTGTTCGATGCCATCATGAACTTCAAGAAGGAGGAGACGGCCAAGTTGATTGAGAAGCTGGACATCAAGCTGGACAATGAGGACAAGGAGAAGGAGGGCAAGCCCCTGCTGAAGGCTGTGATGCGTCGCTGGCTGCCAGCCGGAGAGGCCCTGCTTCAGATGATCACCATCCACCTGCCCTCCCCAGTCACTGCCCAGAAGTACCGTTGTGAGCTACTCTATGAAGGACCTGGTGACGATGAAGCTGCCATGGGTAAGACTTTACGGCCTCTCCTTTCCTTCATCTGCACTCATCTGGAAACATGGATAGTACCATATACGGGTCTATGTTAACCCAACTGTCTCCTCTTAGGTATCAAGAACTGCGACCCCAAGGCTCCCTTGATGATGTACATCTCCAAGATGGTGCCCACCACTGACAAGGGTCGCTTCTACGCCTTTGGCCGCGTCTTCTCCGGCTGTGTGTCCTCTGGCCAGAAGGTGCGCATTATGGGACCAAACTTCACCCCTGGAAAGAAGGAGGACCTCTACCTCAAACCAATTCAGAGGTTGGTACTCTCGAAAGCTACACTTCAAGTGACCATACTTTTGTCATTTGTCTCTCGCAATCCATGAAGAACATGTAAATAATCTGTGACATGCAGTGAGCACAAAGCGCATGCACAGGAGTAGCACAGTAAATGCTATATAAGCTCTTGCCCAGTATTGATCTGTTGACTGACTCTCCCCTGTTCCTCATTAGGACCATTCTGATGATGGGACGATACATTGAGCCCATCGAGGACGTGCCATGCGGGAACATTGTCGGTCTGGTTGGAGTGGATCAGTACCTGGTGAAGACCGGGACCATCACTACCTTTGAGCAGGCCCACAACATGAGGGTGATGAAGTTCAGCGTCAGCCCTGTGGTGAGAGTGGCTGTGGAGGCCAAGAATCCTGCTGACCTGCCCAAGCTGGTGGAGGGCCTGAAACGTCTGGCCAAGTCTGACCCCATGGTGCAGTGTATCATCGAGGAGTCTGGAGAGCACATCATCGCTGGAGCCGGAGAGCTGCATCTGGAGATCTGCCTCAAGGATCTGGAGGAGGACCATGCCTGCATTCCACTGAAGGTCCCCTTGTCCTTCATGCCTTTTTACATGTAGTGGTTTCACATGATCCCTTCTACAGTGGTGTTTACGGTACGGGCAGTATTATCCTACTGATGTATTTAATAATTAAACTCCCCCTCCACTCTCCCACATAGAAATCCGACCCGGTGGTTTCCTACAGGGAGACTGTGTCTGAGGAGTCTGACCAGATGTGCCTGTCCAAGTCCCCCAACAAACACAACCGTCTGTACATGAAAGCTCGTCCCTTCCCCGATGGCCTGGCTGAGGACATCGAGAAGGGTGACGTCAGCGCCAGACAGGAGCTGAAGGTCCGTGCCCGTTTCCTGGCCGACAAGTACGAGTGGGATGTGTCTGAGGCCCGTAAGATCTGGTGCTTCGGCCCCGACGGTACCGGCCCCAACCTGCTGATGGACGTGACCAAGGGAGTCCAGTACCTGAACGAGATCAAGGACAGTGTGGTGGCCGGCTTCCAGTGGGCCGTCAAAGAGGTAAGCAAGACTCATGGATGTAATTTTTCCTACTCTGTGTTGGTCACTTTAAAATCGGCATACCAACTTTCAAAGAGGCACAATTCTGTGTTGGGGAATACACCAAGGGCAGTTTTCTGAGAATGTTGATTTGTCAAGCAAACCGAAGTACCTGAAACATTACTGATTTGTTTCCAGGGTGCCCTGTGCGAGGAGAACATGCGTGCTGTCCGCTTTGACGTCCACGATGTGACCCTCCACACAGACGCTATCCACCGTGGTGGTGGTCAAATCATTCCCACAGCCCGCAGAGTGCTGTACGCCTGCCAGCTTACAGCCCAGCCAAGACTCATGGAGCCTGTCTACCTGGTGGAGATTCAGGTATGCCTAAAATTGATATTCAAAATGTCTCATTGAACATTTGGTTTCAACAAGGACTACATCTATAATGAGAAATCATGCACCACACTGAACAAGTGATGGCTAAATCCATAAAACACTATCTGATACCTGACTGTAGAAATGAGCTCACAACTAATGGAAGTTGACTAGAAAAATGCTACAACTTTGAACAGCATAGCTTTCTCATACAGGTTGGCATTAACCATCTAATTCAATGGCGTTAACCTTGTTTCCCCCTCTCCCTGCAGTGTCCTGAGCAGGTGGTGGGAGGCATCTACGGTGTGCTGAACAGGAAGCGCGGTCACGTGTTCGAGGAGTCCCAGGTCATGGGGACCCCCATGTTCATCGTCAAGGCTTACCTGCCTGTCAACGAGTCCTTCGGTGAGTGACCCACCAACTGCAGTCCTCTTTTCCCCTATCTGATATGCACTTATCAGGGCTAGACAATTCCCTGAGTTGTAGTAAATGTCTACAGCCAATCCCTTCTGTATCATGTATAAAACAAAATGTTATATGCTAACACCGGTGTTCCTTCTCCAGGTTTCACAGCAGACCTGCGTTCCAACACCGGTGGCCAGGCCTTCCCCCAGTGTGTGTTTGACCACTGGCAGGTCCTCCAGGGAGATCCCCAGGACACTTCCACCAAGATCGCCCAGATTGTGGCTGAAACACGTAAACGCAAGGGGCTCAAGGAGGGAATTCCTGCATTGGATAACTACCTGGACAAATTGTAAAAGGCTACCCTCACCAACCCCACCCCCCACCCACCCCAACACTGAGACCAGAACTGTACAGATCACCATGGGGCACAAACATTTTCCATAAGGAAAGTAAAGACCTTATCAAGAGAAACAATTAGGAAGAATTGTAAACCATAAATTAAATAAAAATGGAAAATAAAAACTGTGGTTCGGCATTCATTGGAGAAGGTTGTGGGAACGGAGGTTTGTGTGCTGACTGCAGTTAAGATCACCGGTAACACAGGTGGATCAATATATTTACATTTCATACACTGAGTATACAAAACATTAAGGACATCTGCTTTTTCCATGACAGACTGACAAGGTGAAAGCTATGATCCCTTATTGATGTCACTTAGTAATCCACTTCAATCGGTGTAGATTAATGGGGAGGAGACTGGTTAAAGAAGGATTTAAGCCTTGAGACATTGTGTGTGTGCCATTCAGAGGGTGAATGGGCAAGACATAAGATTTAAGTGCCTTTGAACAAGGTATGGTAGGTGCCAGGCGCACCGGTTTGTGTCAAGAATTGCAGTGCTGCTGGGTTTTCCCACAAGTTTCCTGTGTGTATCAACAATGGTCCATCACCTAAAGGACATCAGCCAACTTGACACAACTGTGGGAAGCATTAGTCCACATGGGCCAGCATCCCTGTAGAACGCTTTCGACACCTTGTAGAGTCATTCCCTGACGAATTGAGGCTGTTCTGAAGGGGGGTGCGCAACTCAAAATTAGGAAGGTGTTCCTAAATGTTTGGTATACTACACTGAACAAAAAAATAAAAGCAACATACAATTTCAAAGATTATACTGAGTGGCGCTTGTAACGCCAGGGTAGTGGGTTCGATCCCCGGGACCACCCATACGTAAAAATGTATGCACACATGACTAAGTCGCTTTGGATAAAAGCGTCTGCTAAATGGCTTATTATTATAGTTTATATAACGAAATCGGTCAATTGAAATAAATTCATTAGTCCCCTAATCTATGGTTTTCACATGACTGGGTATACCGATATGCATCTGTTGGTCACAGATACCTTAAAGGTAGGAGCATGGATCAGAAAACCTGTCAGTATCTGGGTGTGACCATTTGCCTCATGCAGCGTGACATCTCATTCAAAGACTCAATCATGGACACTTACTGACAGTTGTGGCTGCTTTGCCTGATGTATTGTTGTCTATCTTCTTGCCTTCGTGCTGTTGTCTGCCTAATAATGTTTGTACCATGTTGGTGTCATGTGGTGTTGCTGCCATGCTAGGTTGTCTTAGATCTCTTTATGTAGTGGTGTCTCTTGTCGTGATGTGTGTTTTGTCCTATATTTTTAATCCCAGCACCCGTCCCTGCAGGGTGCCACTTGGTAGGCCGTCGTTGTAAATAAGAATTTGTTCTTAACGGACTTGCCTAGTTAAATAAAGGTTTTAAAAAATGATCCTCGCATAGGCTTCATTGTGGAATGTTGTCCCTCTCCCCTTCTATGGCTGTGCAAAGTTGCTGGATATTGGCAGGAACTGGAACACATTGATCCAGAGCATCCCAAACAGGCTCAATAGGTGACATGTCTGGTGAGTATGGAAGAACTGGGACATTTTCAGCTTCATGGGGCTGTGCATACTCATGCTGAAACATGAGGTGATGCGATGGATGAATGGCACCACAATGGGCCTTAGGAAGTTTGGTCAAGACCCTGGTGAGGACGACGAGCACGCAGATTATCTTCCCTGAGACTGTTTCTGACAGCTTGTGCAGAACTTCTTCGGTTTTGCAACCGCACAGTTTCATCAGCTGTTCGGGTGGCTGGTCTCAGATGATCCCGCAGGTGAAGAGGCTGGATGTGAAGGTCCTGGGCTGGCATGGTTACACGTGGTCTGCAGTTGTGAGGCTGGTTGGATGTACTGCCAAATTCTCTTAAACGAAGTTGGAGGCTGCTTATGGTAGATAAATTAACAGTACATTCTCTGGCATCATCTCTGGTGGTCAATACTGCAGTCAGCATGGCAATTGCAAGCTCCCACAACTTGAGACATCTGTGTAATGATAATGCGGTTTAATCAGCTTCTTGATATGCCACACCTGTCAGGTGAATGAATTGTCTTGGTAAAGGAGAAATGCTCACTTAACAGGGATGTAAACACATTTATGCACAACATTTGAGAGAGAGGGGTTTTGTGCGTACGGAAAATTTCTGGGATCTTTTATTTCAGCTCATGAAATATGGGACCAACACATTACATGTTGCATTTATATTTTTGTTCAGTGTACTTCCAGTCTTTGCCTGCCATTGAACGGTCTAGGTATGTAGAAAAGCTGATTCAAGATTCTTGTCTTGCCTATATGTCCTTTCAACTTTGCCGGAGACCAGCTGGGGAGACAACCAATGTTCCCTCTAATCTTTTGGGGCACTGAGCAAACTTTAGTTATTGTGAGTGGAAACTTTAACATTGTGAGAATTTTGCGCAACTGCTGGCTCGCATTTACAGTGAACACTGAGGTTGTACCCTTACAGTTTTAGACAGTAGCCAATAGGCTATTGTGGCTATTTGAGCATAATGGAGGCCTACCACCAAATCCCATAACATTTTCATATGGAAATAGCATTTGATTTCTATGATCTAGCCTACAGTAGCCTGTATGTGGTGTTCAATGCAGGCCTACATTGCATGAGACTTGAAAACGTTTTTACATTGTGAAGGGCTTGACATGAATGATTTTTGACTTGGTCTGTAACACCATGGGCCAAATAGGTGACTGTAAATGGCATTGTATTGTGTTGTACACTCAAAAAAATTAGGGGTTCAACAAGAGTTATTCTAAGATCCTCAAAGTTCTTCAAAGAACCTTAGGGTTCTTGGCACTGAAAATGGCCCCCAAAAGGTTCTTCCAAGAACCCCATAGGAGGTGGGGTTCATCGAGGAACCTCCTTAGTTGGTGGGGGTTCTTGCAGGACCCTAACTGCCCAACTGAAACATTTGGATTTGAAAGGACAGCAGGTGCAGGCACTTAACTGAAAAATGTAAAGATCTCCTCAATCTAAGGTAAGGTTTGTCCCTTGTATGATCTAAATTTATATTGTTTTATGATGGTACCATATATCTTTTCATATTTGTGCAAATCTTTCTAAAACAGAAAATGGACACAATTCAATGGATATCAATCAACAAAGAGGTAAGAATATGTAGGCTATAAGAATATGTTGACGGCTAGCTGTATTGGATGCAGATGACTGAACTGCTCACTTGTGTGTCTGTGTCTGCAGGTATACAGATGAGGAGGCATACAAAGGTATGTCTACTGGTATGTTGATCACATTTATCATCATCCTCCCTTACCTCTTCAATGAATATCCCATAGGCCTCTACATTATGGACAAGGTATGTGTATGAAAACCATTATCAAAACAGTTGTTTTCATTCACATTCACCACAAAAACTAATGTATGAATTCTGTTGTGTGCATGTTTTGTTAATCATCTGTATAATTATTATTTTGGGGATTCACAGACCACCCTCCCTACACCTCTGATGAATATAACAGGAAACCTGTTTGATAACCATGCACTGCAAAATCATTCTGGCTATGGATACAGAGAACATCAACACATTAACATCAACACGCCAGAGGATATACCCATTGGACTTGGGGCTCTGCTGGGAGTTTACCTCATATTTTGATTTTTTTATTCTGCTTTGCCACTAAAATCATAATAACACTGACAACTAAAATATTGTGTTACTGTTATGTTAATAATATAATAATAAGGGGGGTAGTTCAAAAATGAACCCCAAAAGGCTCTTCAGAAGGTTCTTCGAGGATCCATTAAAATAGGTTATTTGAAGAACCTATAGGGGTTCCCTCACAGTTTCAATTTGAAGAACCCCTAACGCTTTGAACACACCGCATCATTACGCAAAATAGTATGCAGCATCATCTAGATATGTGTGCAACAAAAGTTCAACATTCACCTTCTGCTACCATTTCTGTCAACCCGTTTTCGCATACAGTTTGACGCATATGTTAGATCAATCCAACGTATGCACCACACAGAACGGACTGCAACTGCCCCTTTGCAATACAATGCTGCAAGGCAAACGCAGCGTTCCATTGGAAATGAATGTACTTCTGGTCTACCAAAACCCAATGACACAGTCGGTGTGTTCTAAGCATAAATGATACTCCAGGAACCTTTTCTTTTTAGAGTGTATGATGCAAGAAACCACTTTATAAAACATTATTACCATACAGAGAATTAGACGATGTAGGCTACCCCTCTGCCTATTGTCATTTTTGCATATTCAAGTCTGTCTCAAAATACAACACTGCCCCTTTAATAAGACATACTATTTTTACCTGACTGGCTTTGTGCTCTTGTAGGAAGCAGTAACTCCCCATTGCTGACCTATACGTATCTATAACTGGGCTAATAACTCGCTAGCTAGCAAAGAATATCAACAAATGCGCACACGCACGGCTCTATGCTCTGATCTGAACTGATCTGAAAAGCGCATTCACTCGCGGGGTGATTGAAAGCCGCTCGTGGTCTACCCCCGCCAATAGAATTATCCTCCGTTACGCTCTGGCTCTGCCTATAACAAAATCACAGACTCAATCTTGCAAAGTTAGATTTGTTTTGGTTTGTGGCATTGAAAAGGGGCTGATATAATGTTGATTCGATCACAGAAAATAACCTTGATCTATACAGTGCAAACTCAGTGACGTTCAATCTCTTGCGTCTCCTGCGCGGCATGACATTTCTTCTGCGCCGCAGTTACGAGCGCAGTTTAGAGGGAACATTGGAGACAACCCTACCAAATGGCCCAAAGTAGCCTATGGCGATATCTAATTACCGTTCTTCTAGCAGCATGATCGCTCAGTTTGTTTTTCTCAAAATAAGAGTCCCCCTGCAAAGACATTGGGAATATCGATTTCTTTTTTTTGCGCTCTAGTGCAGTACAAAAATAAATGGATCATTTCAAGTATTTTATTTGTAATATTGTATTTTATAGAACGGGTGGTTTGGAATTCCCATTGTTAGAGCCTATCC